ACGTTTTGTTCAAGACAATACAAAGATTGAGGCCTCTCTCAAAATGTGAGCCACATTCATTTACTACTCTAAATTTATCACTTAACCATCATGTATGATTTTTTATATAAAAAATTCTTATTTGCTATGTCTGCTAAGCAGGTACAGAATAAGTATTTTGGAGCTGTCAATGTCCTGTTTACATTAAACTTCAAACTTCCTTGTCATATCCTAGACTAGAATACCTAAAAAGTACTAAGTACAGCCTGTGTGAGTTTGAAGTAGATGAGAGTGAATTGACTGACAAAGGAGCTAATGATTTAAATTTTTGCTAAAAGACAGGAATTGTATTTTTGTTGACCTGAGAGTAAATACCAATGAGAACATATTTCAATATTAGTGCCACATGCACACAGCTTTATTTCCTACAACATGAGAACATATTTCAATATCAATGCCACATGCACACAGCTTTATTTTCCTACAACATGAGAACATATTTCAATATCAATGCCACATGCACAAAGCTTTATTTTTCTACAACATGAGAACATATTTCAATATCAATGCCACATGCACACAGCTTTATTTTCTACAACATGAGAACATATTTCAATATCAATGCCACATGCACACAGCTTTATTTCCTACAACATGAGAACATATTTCAATATCAGTGCCACATGCACACAGCTTTATTTCCTACAACATGAGAACATATTTCAATATCAATGCCACATGCACACAGCTTTATTTTCTACAACATGAGAACATATTTCAATATCAGTGCCACATGCACACAGCTTTATTTCCTACAACATGAGAACATATTTCAATATCAGTGCCACATGCACACAGCTTTATTTTCAACATAAGAACATATTTCAATATCAGTGCCACATGCACACAGCTTTATTTCCTACAACATGAGAACATATTTCAATATCAATGCCACATGCACACAGCTTTATTTCCTACAACATGAGAACATATTTCAATATCAATGCCACATGCACACAGCTTTATTTCCTACAACAAATGCTCAATCTCTTTTATGTGGTCCACAATTTTTGCGCAAACTGATGAATGATATGTTTGTCGATAGTTACTATATCACCCCAAATTTATAATTCTTTAAAAAGGAATGCATCCTCTAGCATCTTGCATTAATGTGTTTTATGCACAAAAGTAGACGTAGATTTAGCAGAGCACATAAAATTTTGAAAGTTTTTGATTACTGGCATGAAAAAAAACTTTCATTTTGATAGATGACATTTGTTACAAAAGCTATATGTTCTCACCTTTAAGACATTTTAATTTTAAAACAATTTGAAGGAAACGTATACTACATAATAAAACAATCGAAAATGTACAATAGTAAAATTGAGCACGACTGTCGAGGAATCGGCTCATCTGCTGGCTCACTTACACCCTTACACTTCGTTTTTCACTTATTTTACAAACGACAAATACAATTTAATATAAAACAAATTCCGGGAGTCCCGTGTTGAGAAAAGGTTAGCAAAGAATTACAACTCTTTTCTTAACTTATAATACACTCATTCTACCAGGCGGGTCTGTAGTTTCAATACTACGCCTCTTCCAACTCTGCCTTTGTAAATATCACACTATTTAATTTCTATTGCTCACTTCCGTTTACTTATTTTATGCGTTGTTAATATATATGTGTATGTATGGTTTTAATTTTGAAATCTCAAGATGTCTTGCTTCTTCGGACTTTGTTTTATATTATATTTCTTTAAATTGTCGGCTGGTCATAGTTTTTGGTCTAAATGCAATTCATTACTGTAGTATTTCTATGCTCTATGCGTTAGAATTTTAAATTATTTTCATCTATTTATGCTAATGGTAATTAATACAGGACACGAGTCGAGCTTTTCTTTGACGTCGTCGGCATTCCTTACTCTTTCATCGCGTTGCAAGTTCTCGCGCGATACAACAAAAATATTGTTTAAGTAATTGGTTTGAACCCGCGTGAATGTCGTTACATGTTTGTGGATGTAGATCGTCTTGGTTAGTAGAATCCTGAGGACTGTTGTTGTTCATATTGACTGACGTTTCGAGAACCTTAGCAGTAGTCATCTTCAGAGTCAAGTAAGGAGTTACTTGCTATCTTGTCAGTCGAAGTCCATCTGAACGTCTTCGCATTATCCAGAGGCCTTTTCCCAACCCAACTTAAGGAAGAGACCAATCAATTTTGTGACGTGTCGTTGTGAAAACTTGGCCAAGGGTCTCGGACTGATGCAATTTTCACCCCAACTCGACGTAATGCTCCAACGTAACTCTTTATTTGGTAACTGAAGTCTGAGTGAAATAGTGAGGGATATTTCCGATGAAAAGATTGCATCATTAGACATATTTTACAATTATAAATATTATTTAGAAGACCGTCTTTGCATTGATTCGCAAATATTTACGTTTTGTTAGATAGAGGTAAAAAACAGTAATAGCTACAAAAATTGGCGACGATTAATCTTTGTGGCTAAGAAAAATTCCTAGATTTGTGATTTTTATTAAATTTTAGGTTGAACTTAAATTAGACGAAGCGAAGTAACAAAGCAATAAAAATTATGACAGCATTAAAATAATCTGACTGAGGCATTTGTATTAGTTGCATCATCCTGGTTCCACGACCAACAATGTTCCATGTGATACTCTAGGATATCACCTAAGGTATTGTCTCAATCACCAACAATGTTCCATCTGATACTCTAGGATATCAACTAAGGTATTGTCTCAATCATTCAGATATGGATTAGATGTGAAAAGCACACGTTTTACGAAATTCTCATTAATAACAATTTTCTCGTTCAAAAAAGAAAGTTGTTCAGTTCAATGATAGATTTGTGTGTCGGTAAACAGCAGCAAATTCCGTGTTCGTTAAAAATGGAGAATTCTAAAAAAATGACTATATACCTTCAAGACCATATTTTCAGCCTTGAAAGTGCATTCTAATTTTTCTCTTTTACTTTTTTGACGTTTTGGCTTTTTTTATCGCTTCAAAGGTATGTGAAAATTATTGTTTGTAAGGGTTCCCCCGGAGCGCGGAATTTTGACTAAAATCGCTAGTGGTTTTTTTCTGTTCAGTATTCTCCAAGTTTTTGTGCCTTTGCGCTCGGTTTTGGTATATACCGTTCAGGTTTTGCCATTAGGGATTTTTTATTTCGGTTAAGTCTAAAAAAGCATTGACCTTCGTAAGGGACTAAACTTCTACTTCATGTTATATACATTCATCAAAACTACAGACAGAATTCATTTTGTAATCATAATGTTTAGAGTACATGCTCCCGATAAAGTTAACGTGACCATGAACCATTTTTGACCGTGTGACAATCTTCTGTAGATAAAATTTCTGAATTGTTTTACAAATTATTGATCTGTTTAATTTATTCTCAACTGCTCTAACTTACCAAAAATGGTACACACATCTTTTAGGAGCGGTACAATTTAGTCTTTGGGCTCGATTGCTAATACACTGTTTTTGTGTCAAAAATGCCAATATTATGGTTGAACTTTTTAAAAAATTTCTGACGTAAACATCTCAACTTGTACATTGTAATAGGAAAGGCATTTATGGCTATACATATATTTAAAATAATTATGTTCTCAGTTATAATTTTATTGGCAAATGTATGTGGTCCAGTCTGAAAACGAATTTTTTTGAAATTCATTCACTCGGAAGAAGTTTTTAAAGTATAGAAGATGATTTATTTCTTTTTACGTAGTTTATGTGTAGAAAAGAATAGCCATTTTTTATGACATATAAAAGTACATACGAATGCTTCAAATAATAGTACATACGAATGCTTCTATTTGATTAATTTAAATTTTGGCTTTCAAAAAATGTTCAATTATGGTTATTGACACTTCCATCCAATTTTGGGGGGGAATGGGATTATAATTTACATTCGTTTCCCTCAAGTGAAAGGTGGTCCTGTAGCTGAGGGATAGTGAATTTCAGCAGGTGGTTTATCAGCTTTATCTACCGCTTCATAAATTATAAAGCATGCATATTTACTAAGTGGTATAGAATATCCCTTACAATCCAACCCGATGTTATACTTGGAAATGTACAACTACTTATGACGTTTAAAGTGCCTATGAGATGAAAATTTTTATATTTTAAAGGCTTTAGCATTGCTCTTTGTCATTTGGAAGTTATTTACGTTCTTTTGTTTTTATAGTATGCTCTTTGCGATGTTAATTCAATAAAATAAAAAAGGCCAAAAGCTCAAAATTTATATAAATGATTTACAAAACTTTAAACTAAAACTGTCGCACAACTATTACTGAGTGCTTTCATGTGACATTATTGTGCGGATACCTACCAGATGATATGGGATCTGAGATGATAAAATCAACATAACTTTGCACTATTTTCTATCTGTGGAGTAAATACAAGGTCTTCTAGCAATTATAAGATTAATTTGAAACTTTACTCAGTAAATGTGACTGTGAGAGAGTTTTTAGAATATAGGCAATAGAGAGCGCCGTAGTTAACCTTACGTGTATTTAGGTGTATATTCAATACTTATTTAAGAAATCCTAAATACATAGCACTTGCATTTTAGTTGCATGGATTTAGGCACGAAATAAGTGTCAGGGTTACAGCGCATGAAATAAGCAAAATATCAGAAAATAATGTCAACTATGAATATTTTTATATAAAACTAATTCAAATAATATTGAGTCCATACACAAAACATTTGACGAAATGCTGTCACTCACTCAATTTCATGAAAATGTTATTTAATTCAATTATTTTATATTGACAGCTACGTAATTAATGTGAGATATTAAAACACAAAAGATTCTATTTATGGAATTATGCACAACTTCAAATGGTCAGATTTATACAATAAGGAATTCCCAAGAGCCCAAAACACCAAGGCCAGACTTTTAGTAATTATAATAATTTCAGAAAAACAATTATTTATCGTATACGAGTTTATTATGTTGGATGAAAGTAGAGCAAATTTTATCAGTGCAGCCAAGCATAAAAGTTAACTTTTAATGTCATGTTCACCTTCAGTCTTTTTCCAAAACAGTTTACAGTAAAAATTAAATATATACATTGTATAAATGAATACCACAGGCTATACATTCACAAGAAACGGGGTGAAATATCATCTAAATACGTCGTGAAAACTGTTTTTCTTTAAATCTATAAAATAAGATCTTAACAGTATCAATGATTTCTTAATTGCTACTTTTTTACTCCCAACAGGTTCTGTTGTATCTAAATTTTTTTTTGATGTAGTTTGCATTCATCAAAAGGAAAAAAGTTCTTGAGTTCTGGCTCGTTCTTCAATTCTTCATTTGACCTGACAGCAGCATGTACCCGAACAGGGAGATTAGGAACTGTTCGGAGAAAATACGCCCTGTAATCGCAAATCTTATAAAATGGTTCTGGTTGTGGTAGAGGTCGTGGTCGATCGTTCCAATGCTGGTCAATATTTCGAATAAGACTTAAACATTCTGTCCATGAAGAGTTATAGGTTCTTTTATTCACCAAATAATCATAAACATCACTATCCATTTCGCTTCTCCAATCTGAGGATTCGCTATTCAATTGTTGAACGACACTACACAAGGGATCATTTGTCTTAATCTGCTGAAGATTTCCAACTTTACATAATAAGTCAAATTTCTCGTCATCTGACATAAGAAATGGGTGTTTTAACGCCACGTTAGCCGATGGCCTGTCTTTGGGTTCTCGGTTTAACATCCACGATAGAAGGTCTTTCAATGTTTCATCCTTGATTTCCTCCAAGCCAACAGGTTTTCCATTCAGCATGTTCATCAGTCTATACGGTTTAGTTCCAAACGGGTGTTTACCTTTTGTTGCAATATAATAAGCTACCATTCCTGCATTCTAAAAAGATTAACAATGTAAAGTCACAAAATTGATTGTATATATGCATGACTTGCAAATGGTTATATTCCTGCACTTACCATTACATCAGACGTTTTCTTGTACCGTCCCGTATTAACTTTATCTTCATCTTCACAATATGATTCAGGAGCAATCCAATACTCAGTTCCCATGTTAGGATTGCTATTATGTGTCGTAGAATCCTTTTCCAATATTCGACTAATGCCGAAGTCAGCTATAAGAAAGTTGTCTTGCGTGTCTCGGAGAACATTGGCGGGCTTTAAGTCCCGATGAAGAATAGGATTTGGGCCGCTATGAAGATCAGCTAATCCTTGCAAAATTTGTCTGAGAATTTTGGGAAGAGCTTTTTGAAGATCATGTAAAGTAGAAGACTTGACAAAACTCTCCAATGATTTTTCACATAAGTCTAATATCAAATATACATATTCTGTTCCAGTCTCTTCTTCTAGGAAAGAATAATTCACAACATATTTCGACCTTCTTGCGTTGAATTCATTCAAAATTTTCTTTTCGTGCAGCGCACGCTGAATGTAGCTATCTCGACGTATTTGTTTCACTGCTTTACCGTAACCATCCTTACCCAGTCCAAGATAAACACGTGTTCCATCACTTCCTTTGCCAATGCAAAACTCTTCTGAGAAAATTACTCGTACATTGCCCACCACTTTAACCTCATCACTGGAATTGCGTCCATATTCAATCAATTTTGAAAACAATTCTCTATGTTTCGTTGATTCATTAATGTATTTCAACTCTTGCAACACCAATTCTAAGAAAATTAGATAAAATATTATATTCAAGGGTGAAAGAAACGAAATTAATAGGTAAAAATAGCTTAAACTTTCCCAATCAGGAAAGGATATTATTAGCTACAGCGCATTTTTGAAAAAACTTATCAACAACCATTAGACAAATCATAAGTTCTTTAATTGTACAATCAAATCTGGCAACATTTGAGGTTAGCTTATACCATACAATTTATCACAAAAACTTTTTTCTGCAGTAATTTCATATATTTTTTTTAAGAAATAACCTTACGTTTTTCGAAAATATTAAATTTAAATTTATAGAGCATATTTTTTAGAGTCTAAAAATTTTTATAGTAGAAAATAACAAAATAGCTTCATTTAATTTTTCATTTCATTCTCGACACTCATTATTTATATAGACTATCTTATGTTTAATGCCAAATATGAACATTGAAATTCGATGAGCAACTAAAACTAAACAATTATTCTCTCAAACCTTGTTTGAACACCATTAAAGTGCCAATGAAACGAAAACTTTGCTAGTTAAATTATATTTACATTGACCAGAACTTTTGAAATGAATGCTTTCTAAAACCTTTTATGTATGATACTTTCATTCAAAAAATACTGAAGTGAAGTTCTTGCTATTACCAATTTATCTAACTTGTGACATCATATTGCATGCAAAATGAGTCGCTGCCATGTTTTAAATACACTTCATTTTTCTGACAACGTAACGTTGATAATAGTAGGCAGTATTTTATGTTATTGACACATCACAAAGAAAGAAACTCGGCAAAGTTCAAGTAAAGTATTAGCAAATGTACCGAATAATTCTAGTTCTCATTATGCAATGTGACATCACAAGTTAGATGAATCGAACATAATAAAAGCTTCAATATCTTGAGAAAGAAAAGATATACGCATAAACTATTTTCAGCAGCAGCCTTAAGAAACACCCCCTCACCCACCCCACTAAAAGTTATAGTTTTGGTCCTTTATACAGTGGTCCGTGATACAATACCTGAGAAAACATGATATGGTCATTGAGTTCTGTAAGTGTCATTTCATCAGCAGCCTTAGTAAACACCCCCTCCCCCACCCCACTAAGATTTATAGTTTTCGTTCTCCATATAGAAGTCCACGCTACAATATTTGAGAAAACATGATACAGCCGTTGATTTCTGTAATCGATATTTAATCAGCAGCGTTATTAAACATCCCTTCCTTCACCCCACAAAACGTTATATTTACGTCCTCTATATAGAGGTCATTGATACAATATCTAAGAGAACATGATACAGTCATTGAATTTTGTAAGCAATATTTCAGCAGCAGCGTTATTAAACACTTTTTCCACCACCCCGCTAAAAGTTATAGTTTCGGTCCTCTATACAGTGGTCCGTGCTATAATATCTGAGAAAACATGATACAGCCATTGAGTTTCGTAAGCGATAATTCATCAGCGGGGTTATTCTTGCTCAATCTTTTGACTTAAGTCTTAAGTGCCTTGAACTGATTCACGTGCACTTTTTAATTGAGGTTATGAACTCAGTTAACCAATCACGAATTAAGACGCACTTCAGATCATAAATGTGATTTTTGGACTCGCTTGCTCTTCTAATATAGTTCAAATATTTACATTTATCTATTTTGAGATCATTGGAGTAATTTATTGAAATCAATGAATAAAGTCGCTGTTTTTATGTTTTGCGATTAGTAACGCTTTTTGCTTATCTATTTTGGGAAATTTTTTAGTAGAAAAAACTGTTACAGCAACTTTTACTCTATAGGCAACCTTCAAAATGCAATTCTAAGCTAGAAAATTACCTTTTGTGAACATTTGAATGATGTTACACTGAAGATGTAATCTCCAGTATACTTAGCAAGGAGAGAGCTCAAAAAAACTTGTAATTTTCTGTAAATTTGGAATTTAGAAGTTCGTTCAATAAATGTGCAATTTAATGCTGCATTTGTCATAAGGAAAATTTTATATAGCCTTCTTTTTATTGTGGAACTTTGAGAATTCACATCGTCAAATTGGCTCATTTTCCATATGATTTTGAGGTATTTTACTTACAATGAACAGGAATTCTTATTTATTAAAGTATATCGAGCAAGTCGATTTGATGGTGGCCGTTCTTTGCATAATTTTCAATATCATTAGCTAGGTAATGTATGCATGGTGGTGCAAACGTGAAGTATTGACAGTATATCCAAAGGATAGTTTGTTGAGAAGTTTTTATGATTAAACAAGCAGAATACAAATAAACGTTACTTTAAAAAAATAAATTGCATGATGTCATTATCACCTCATGTCTCATTTTAATTTTAACTGACTGATAATGTGCTTCAAGTACAAATTGTTAAGTGACAAAATTTTACTGCCATGGTTAAAACAGATTAAAGCACTTTAAAACAGATTGTCTAACCTGAACAATTCTAAAATGCAGAGTCTGATCTCTATGGTGTACATTATATGAAGATTTATTTTAAAAGGTTTTAGTCTATTTATTGTAATCCTTTTTCTTTAATGAAACTTATGAAATGTAGTCAATTTGAGCACTTTATAAAAAGAGTTGCGCAACTTTGCTGGTACGCAATATTTATTGAGATAAACAAAGACTTATCAAGTTGTGCAAGTTATGCGTCTAGTACACAGTTCATCGAAATTATTTGCCGTTAGTGAGCAGAATTCATTACGAAATTTAAATATACGTAAATGTAAGTAAGTATGACCTTTATTTAAGGAGCCTTTGCATTGAACCCCAGCAGTGTTGTGTAAAACCTCCTTAGGTTAGTATATAGAAGATATAATAAATATTTAATAAAACTTTTACAACAATTTACACAACACTCAGAATCTTGGTGCTCTCACTAGTTAATCCTATCAAGTGTCTTCCGCATCTTATGCGGTGATGGAGAAAGTTTTAAGACCACAACGTTTTGACACCAATCCTAACGCTCAAGACGCTGCTAGATCGTGGTTGCACTGGTTTGCTACTTTCCAAAACTTTGTAGCTGCTATACCTAACGAAGAAGTGAACAAATTAAAGGTTCTAGTCAATTATGTTTCTGCCGACGTTTATCAACTTTTCTGTGAAGCGACAACCTACGAGGAAGCTATAGAATTGTTAAAAAATCTCTATGTTAAGGTTCCTAATGAGATATTTTCGCGACATAAGTTAGCTACTCGTAAACAACAATCTGGCGAGAGCCTGGATGAGTATTTGCAAGATCTAAAATCGCTAAGCAAAGATTGTAATTTTCGTAGCGTGACATCAAATCAATATCGAGACGAAGCTGTACGAGACGCGTTGATAGCAGGTCTTCTTTCAACTAACATCCGCCAACGTCTTCTTGAGAATAAAACATTAGACCTTCAGACAGCTTTTGATCAAGCCCGAGCCTTAGATACATCACAGAGAACTTCTGAAACTTATGCAGACGGAATTCCAATAACAGCTGCTGCTCTATCAAACAAGGACGGGGAGAATTCGTTTATTAATCAACGGGCATTCGAAAACCAAGATAAAACTGATCAATCTGACGGACATCAAGAGAACAACGGCATAGAAAGGTACGTTGCCGCCTCTTCTAGATCAGCGAAATGTTTCTTCTGCGGTAATCGACCACACCATCGTTCCGCATGCCCGGCTAAAGACGCCTATTGTTATAAATGTAAAAAGAAAGGACATTTCCAAAGAGTATGTAAATCGGTCGCTCCTCAGGCTTCGTATATAGCATTAGCATCAACTAAACATACAGTAGCAAAGTCACTAAAGAAAGCCTGTATTGATGTCTTGATTAATGGAAAATCTTGCGAAGCTCTAATTGATTCGGGAAGTACACATAATTTTATACATCCTAAAGTTGCAAGTAATCTGGGATTGAACGTTTATACAACTCAAGAGAAAGTAACAATGGCTGCATCCTCGTTTTCTTCTAAAATTCAAGGCTATTGTCTTGCCGATATTATACTTAAAGAGCGAGAGTATGCGAAAGTAAAACTGTTTGTCTTAACAAATTTATGTACGAACGTGATATTAGGACAAAATTGGCAGGAAAAACATGAAAGCACAATTATTGAGTATGGCGGAAAATCGCCCTCTTTAACGATATGTGGTTTATCAACTATAAATATAGGGCCACCGCCGTTGTTCCAATTTTTGTCTGAAGATTGTAGACCAGTAGCTGCAAAATCACGAAGATACAGTGCCGAAGAGAGAGCGTTCATCGCAACGGAAGTGTCGAAATTGCTTGAAGAAGGGATTATTGAAGAAAGTGACTCTCCCTGGAGAGCCCAAGTCGTTGTAACCAAGAACGAAAGACAAAAGAAAAGACTAGTAATCGATTACTCTGAAACAATTAATAAGTTTACTCAGTTGGACGCTTATCCAATGCCAAGAATAGATGATACAGTAAACGCAGTTGCCCAATATACTTTCGCGTATTTAGACAATATTACTATATGCGGTTACAATCAGGAGCACCATGATAAAAATTTGGAACTTTTTATGAAAGCAGCGAGGAAGCGTAACCTAACATTTAATGAAAGCAAGTGCGTTTTTTCGGTAACTTCAATTAGTATACTCGGAAGTGTTGTATCTCAAGAAGAGATTAAGCCAGATCCGGAGAGGCTAAAACCTTTGCGGGAGCTGCCAGCCCCACGTGATGCAAAAGCTCAAAGGCGTGTCATCGGTTTGTTTTCATATTACTCCCAATGGATTAAAGATTTTTCAACTAAAATTAGACCTTTGTCTCACAATTTAGCTTTTCCATTATCAAATGATGCGTTGCAAGCGTTTGATTTACTGAAAAATGATATTGAGAATGCTGTAGTAGGATCAATTGATGAATCTTATCCTTTCCAAATAGAGACCGATGCATCAGAATTTGCACTTTCAGCGACATTAAATCAACAAGGACGACCAGTAGCATTCTTCTCAAGAGCACTAAATGGTTCAGAACTAAAACACTCGTCAGTAGAAAAGGAAGCAGCTGCTATCGTGGAGGCCGTTCGTAGGTGGAAACATTATCTAACAGGTAAACATTTCAAACTAGTAACGGATCAGAGGTCAGTAGCTTATATGTTCAATTTGAAACGTCATGGTAAGATTAAGAACGATAAAATAATGCGGTGGAGATTGGAACTTTCTATGTATGATTTTGACATAGTATATAGAACAGGAGAAGAAAATATACCAGCGGATACCTTATCGAGAGTGAAGGTTATGTCGCTTACACTGGATAAACTTTTCGAACTTCATAAAGCACTGTGTCATCCTGGAGTATCTCGCATGAGTCATTTTGTAAAAAGCCGAAATTTACCATTTTCGATAGAAGAAATTAAGCGCATGACCGAATCATGTAGAGACTGCCGAGAATGTAAACCCCAATACTATCGACCTGCACAGTCACATCTGATAAAAGCAACACAGCCGTTTGAAAGACTGAACCTAGATTTTAAAGGTCCGCTGCCTAGTACGGACAAGAAACGATATATATTGACTATCATAGATGAGTATTCTAGATTCCCATTTGCGTTCCCATGTGAAGATGTTAGCGCTCGGACTATTGTTGCTTGTCTATCAGAATTATTCTCGGTTTTTGGTATGCCTACGTACATTCATTCTGATCGAGGGTCAGGATTTATGAGTGCTGAACTAAAGAGTTTTCTCTTACAGAAGGGTATTTCAAGTAGTAGAACAACAAGTTATAATCCTGCAGGAAATGGCTAAGTAGAAAAATTCAATGGAACGTTGTGGAAAACAGTTTGCCTCGCTTTACGATCGAAAAATCTACCCATTAACCACTGGCAAGAGGTGATGCTGGATGCACTCCATTCGATTAGGTCCTTTTTATGTACGGCTACAAACGCTACTCCTCATGAACGATTATTTTCTTTTCAACGTAAGTCAACGAGCGGGGTGTCTGTCCCTTCATGGTTAGCTACACCAGGAAAGGTTCTATTAAAACGTCAAGCGCGAAATTCAAAGTTTGAACCATTAGTGGACGAAGTACATCTAATACAAGCAAACCCTCAATATGCTCACATTCGACACGCTGATGGAAGAGAGGATACCGTAGCAACAAAATACTTAGCACCTCAAGGAGACTTAGGATTTCAAGACGGTGCGACAACTTCTGCCCCTCCAATAGAAGTTCAAGACACTACAATACGTCCCACAGAAGACGCAAAGATAGAGATATCTACGTCAACGGAAGAAGTGAGAGGAACAAATTCATAAGATGAGAGTGTTGAACAGCAGTCGTCGCAATTACGAAGAAGAAGAGCACCAGATCGATTAACTTATGATTAAAATAAAATAAAACAGAACGAATCAACTAACATTTATTAAAGTCATTCTATTACCTTGAGTTAGTTAAGGACAATTATATTAAATTTAGCTACACATATGTTTAGGTTTTTTTTTTGTTGTTAGGGTGAAGGAACAGAATTCATTACGAAATTTAAATATACGTAAATGTAAATAAGTATGCCCTTTATTTAAGGAGCCTTTGCATTGAACCCCAGCAGTGTTGTGTAAAACCTCCTTAGGTTAGTATATAGAAGATATAATAAATATTTAATAAAACTTTTACAACAGTTAGCAAAAGCAAAATTGAAGTCTTTGATACAGTATAGAACATACGTAATAAACGATCGTTCGGAGTCCGAGAGATAACAAATAAACTAGGTTCAGTTCGTTGACCTAAAGTTGGCTAACCCTGGGTTAAAATTGCGTTGTTCAAAGCAAGGTTAAGCGCTGGGTTAACTAACCTTGGGTTAAAAAGCAAGCGAATCCAAATAAGGTCAATTAACTGTGTGAGTTCAATCAACACAATCAATAGCAAAGCCAGCAAGCAAAAAAGTTGTTTTGATTTTATCGATTACGTAGTTTTTCATCAGTTGATGGTGGCCAGTTTTAAAGTGATTCCTAGGTCTATTCAATGCAGTTGTAGTGTTAGCACCGTTGCAGATTTATCAACAATTCGATTATCTTGTACATCTTATACGTTTATACGAAACTGTCCGAAGCAAAGAACCTCAAAGCAATTACGACTTGTTGTAGATGAATTGCACAGCTTTGCTGCGTATCTAAATAAAGCTTGAAGAATTAGATTTGTTATACAATTTATTTCGTTTCTGCCGAATTTTATTTCTTGCCTCTAAATCACTGTCGTAAAAAACTTTAGTATTTTATCTACGTACACAATATCGTCTTTTGCAACGAGGATAATTTACATGGGAAATTAAGAGCAAATTCTGTCACGAGTTGTTTTAATTACGAAAATATTATGTCAACCTAGGGTTAAGTAATTTAACCCACCTAGCAAGGAGGGTTAAAGTTAACCCTTGTTTCAACCGAAGGTTTAAGATAACCTACTTTCGAGCAATGCAAACTAACCCAGAGTTAAAAATTAACCTTGGATTAGGCATGTTTAACCAGCTTTTGAAAAACCAGCCCCAGATTATTAAAAATAAATCTTCATAAAAACACATATATACCAATCAAATGACTTGATTTGTCATACAATACGAAAAAAATATGATTAGGTTTTGTAATATATATAAAATAAAATAGAATTGAAAGACATACCTTGTTTTGTCTTTTCAACACCAGGAGAAACTACAACATCTTCGGCAATAAAATCATCACCAGTTGTGGTTTCTAAGAAAAATATATTAAAAAATTTCATCCACACAATCTGCATGTGTATTTCTATTCCGTCATTAAATAAAAAAAAAATTACAGCTAGTGCTCAAAAGAAATAACACAAGTAAACTGAAACGTTTCGGTTAGTAGCTTTAAAAAACTATATCTTTTATCTCGTTTTGCTCATTAAAGTATAGTAGCGCGCCTAACGGATTTAATCGGGAGAGCAAAATCTTGCACCTCCAAAATTTCATATACATATATTACACACAGTTTTATATAACTGATATTTTTCAAGTCTATGGAAATATTGAGAGGTGGTTTACCCCCTTGTAAGCACCCATTATTTTTATGTAATGGACCAGCATTCATCAGGCGTAATATTACAAATAAATGTATGTAAACAAACTTCATGAAGGAAACACCAAACGTTTTTTAAAACGAAAAAAAAACAAAACAGAAAACCATGGTACGAATGTAGGTCAAAAAAAGAACACTGGGTTTTCTTTTATGTAGACGACACGATTTCAAGCTATATATTTTCAGCTGGCAAAAACTACAGGAGTGAAAGCTAGTCCATGCAATGCAGCAAAGACGAGAAAAAAAAAACTTTCAGTTCAAATAAAGCCATATAATAAAACTTTTATTAACCCCGCCTGCTCGTTCTTTACTGAAAAATCTCGGACCTCTGTTTTTAGTACAAACCTTGCCTTAAGGGGCTCAGTTTGCACGAAAAACTTCATATCACACACTCGGTTATTAAGAGCTTATTAATGAATTCAGACATTGATAAATGTTACATAACCGTTGACGTTAATCCCTGTGGAGAAGGTACCTAAGTAACTATAGGGAAAAAGTTATACGCAGGATTTATTGAGGTGGACAAAAACTTCTCAAGTTAAACTGAGCACTGCCGTCTAGTAGATATTTCATTTCAAATATTTGAACGTCGTTAGCAAAAGCAAAATTTATATCCTTGTTACCGTATTGAATATACGTATTAAACAAACGTTTGGACTGTATATATCATATTTTAAATAAAATAAATCTTCATAAAAACACATAAATACCAATCAAATGCCTTGAATTGTGATACAATTCAAAACAAGTATTCTTAGGTTACGCAATATATAATAAAAATTAGAATTGAAAGGCATACCTTGTATTGTATTTTCGACACACGGAGAAGTTCCGACATCTTTAGCATTAGCATCATCACCACTTGTGATTTCTACGAACAATATTTTAAAAAGCGTTATCCACACAAGCTGTGTATTTCTATTTTGACAACTTGTAAAAAATGAATTTACAGCTAGCGCTCGAAAAGAAATAACACAAATAAATTGGAAAGTATTGGATAGTAGCTTTTTAAAACTAAATATTTCGTTTCGTTTTGTCCATTAGCTCCAAAATCTCATATACGTATATTACATTTTACATGACTGACATTTTCAAGTAATAAAATGACCTTACAATTGGAAATATTTAGAGGGCAGTATATATTTTCACGTAATGAGCCAGCTTTCATTTGGCGTAATTTTACAAATAAATGTAGATAAACAAACTTCATGAATTACGACTGCCAAAGAGTATTTTGGTAAAACACAAGACAATAGACACTCTGTATATAGTAAACATTATTTATCTAGATAAAATATCTTACGAAACGTGATACAGCCATTGAGTTCTGTAAGCAATATTTCAGCAGCAGCGTTATTAAACACCCCTTCCCCACCCCACTAAAATTTATAGTTTTAGCCCTCTATACAGTGGTCGGTGCTACAATATCTGAGAAATCATGATACAGCCATTGAGTTCTGTAAGCGATATTTCAGCAGCAGCGTTATGCTTGCTCAATCGGGAGGCTTAAGTCGTAAGTGGCTTAATCTGATTCACGTGCACCTTTTAATGGAGGTCATCAAGCAAGTTTACAATCATCAATTAAGACACAATTTGAATTATAAATGAGATTTTTGGACTCACTTGCTCTTTTAATATAATCGAAACAATTATATTTATTTAATTTGAGATCAGTGGGAGTAATTTATTCAAATCAATGAATAAAGTCGTTGTTTTTCAGTATTGCGATTAGTAACGTTATTTGCTTATCTATTTTGTGAAATTTTTTAGTAGAAAAAACTGATACAGCAACTTTTATGCTCTATGCAACTTTTAAAATGCAATTCTGAGTAAAAAGTATTCAAAATTTATTGCTAAGCTAGAAAATGATCTTTGTGGACTTTTGAATGATGTTCACACTGAAGAGGTAATCTCCAGTATACTTAGCAAGGAGAGAGTTCAAAAAAACTTGTAATTTTCTGTAAATTTAGAATTTAGAAGATCGTTTAATAAATGTGCAATTTAATGCTACATTATTCTTAATGAAAATTGTAAATAGCCTTTTTATTGTGAAACTTTGAGAATTCATATCGTCATATTTGCTCATTTTCCATATGATTTTGAGGTATTTTTATTACAATGAACAGGAATTCTTATTTATTGAAGTACATCGAGCAAGTCGATTTGATGGTGGCCGTTCTTTGCCTAATTTTCAATGTTATTAGCTAGGTAATGTATGCATGGTGGTGCAAACGTGAAGTATGACAGTATATCCAAAGGATAGTTTGTTGAGAAGTTTTTATGATTAGACAAGCAGAATACAAATAAACGTTACTTTAAAAAAATAGATTGCATGATGTCATTATCACCTCATGTCTCATCTTAACTTCAAATGACTGTTAATGTGCTTGAAGTACAAATTGTAAAGTGACAGTATTTTACTGTCATGGTTAAAACAGATAAAACCAGCTGCAAATGTTACCATTCAGTGTTGCTTAGACATGTTATGAAAAAATTCATATATCTTATAACATTTCTTAATGTAAAAGACTGATTGAAGTCTGTATTTGTAATCAAACACGTAATCCTTTTTCTTGAATGGAACTTATGAAGTGTAGTCAATTTGAGCACTTTATATAAAGAATTACGTCACTTTGCTGCTACGCAGTATTTATTGAGATAAACAAGGACTTGTCAAGTTGTGCTGAGCACTGCCGTCTGGTACAAAGTACATTTAAATTATTTGTCGTTCGCAAAAGGAAAATTTAACCCATTGATACAGTATTGAACATACGTAATAAACGAAAGTTTGGAGTCCGAAAGTGCAACACTGTATACGTATATCCTGCATATTATTAAATAATATAAATCTTCATAAAAACACATAAATACCAATCAAATGCCTTGAATTGTGATACAATTCAAAACAAATATTCTTAGGTTACGCAATATATATAAAATAATTAGAATGGCGTACCTTGTTTTGTATATTCAACACCCGGAGAAGTTCCGACATCTTTAGCTTTAGCACCATCACCACTTGTGATTTCTATGAACAAGATTTTAAAAAGCGTTATCCACACAAGCTGTGTATTTCTATTTTGACAACAAGTAAAAAATGAATTTACAGCTAGCGCTCGTAAAGAAATAACCAAATAAATTGAAAAGTTTTGAATAGAAGTTTTTTAAAACTATAAATTTCGTTTTGTTTTGCCATTAGCTCCAAAATCTCATATAGATATATATTACGTTTTACATGACAACATTTTCAAGTAATAAAATGACCATACAATTGGAAATATTTAGAGGGCAGTATATATTTCCACGTAATGAGCCAGCTTTCATTTGGCGTAATTTTACAAATAAATGTAGATAAACCAACTTCATGAATTACGACTGCCAAAGAGTATTTTGGTAAAACACAAGACAATAGATACTCTGTACAAAGTAAACATTATTTATCTAGATCAAATAATGTTTATCTAGATTAAATAATGTTTACTATATACGGAGTATCTATTGTCTTGTGTTTTACCAAAACTTCATGAAGCAAACAGCAAATGTTTTGTAAAACGAAAATAAAAACAAAATTAAAAACCATGGTATGAATGTAAGTCAAAAAAGAGCACTGGAAAAGTGGGTCTTATTGTCTAGGCGACACTGTTTCAAACTATATATTTTCTGTTGGCAAAAACTAGAAGAGTGAAAGCCAGTCCTTGTAAAACAACAAGAATGGAAAAAGAAAAGAAAGCTTCGTTTCAGGTCAAATAATACCATATAGCCAATTTTCATTTTATTAACATCGCCTGCTCGGTCTTTATTAAGAAATCTCGGACCTATGTTTTTAGTACAAACCTCGCATTAAGGGGCACGGTCAGAACAAATAACTTCAGTCCCATATTTCTCCGTAAAGACCTCACACTCGGTTATTAAAGGCGTTGTAATGAATTCAGATATTGATAAATGTTAACGAGCTGTTGTCGCCAAAATCTGTCGAGTATCTTAGTAATTATAAGAAAAGCTTGCTAAAATCCGTTGCTGTTGGCTATCTTTTTTGAGGACAAGGAATTTACTACAAAGTTATGCGAATTTATGCAACCTGTCAAAGAATGAAAATTGTAAGCAGACACAGACATTAACACATTTTTTAGCGTTGTTGTTTAATTACTGATGGAGTTAAAAGAAAAGTCTGGAATTATTTAAATCATACATTATCGTCATACACAGTATATATGTATATATATTCAAAAGTTTCCTAAAGAATATGGAAGCACCCAAAAGCGTAGGAATTCGACGAATTTTGTTCCTAAACAGAGCAAATGAATGGTTGCTTAATAGCTACTTCGAAGTTCGAATTAATTTCTTGTTGACGATTCTTTCCTTTAATGTATATGGAGTCCTTGCCGAATCACTCAATTTGTTCAGAAGTCCGCCTTTCCTTACGGAGTCGAGGCAATTAAGAGAGATCGGTCAAACATAGAAATTTTATCGCAATATGTGTCTTGTTTACTCCTACCTCGGCGCTATACTTTCATTAATCAATCAACTCGCCGCCGCAAGTTTTTCTCAGTTATGAAATGAAATTGAACTGTATTCCTGGAAAACAGATGAGCGAGAAGAAGTGATCGCTATAATATTTTTGAATTAGTAAACAAGAACTGCAAGGGATCTAAGAGTTAAAAAAATCATCTGCAACACCCTTATAAGGGAAACATCCCACAGGAAACATAATTACTGGAATTGCTATAATAATGTTTGGTATCAATGTCAGTCACGCTATGTCAAAGTAGTTTCAATAATTTATTAGGAGCAAAATAGCAGTTAAACATTTCATACAGACCACGATTTGATAATATGTAGACACTTGTTTTGTCAAGCTTTTGCTATTTTTATTGCTCAAATCATTAATTTATGTTTTATATTATGCAATTGATAAAACTAGATCTCAGCAAACACATATATTATAGGTGTAATTTTAACTTGTAATAAAATTTCTACTTTCACTCCTGTAATTTATTATCTAAAACATGTATAAATGACATAATATTTTCTTGCTGTAAAAAGTAATACACTGAAAATAGCATAGGCATGCTGAAATATGTCTTTTTTAAAATCATCCTGTTTTATTTCCAATGTTTGTCAATCTTTCAGTCTATGATTTTTTGAATACATAATTTTCACAAAGCTGGGTTTGGTGAGTCTTACAACTAACAATGAATTTATAGCTGTTATACATCTTCAGCAATGTTTGTTTGATTAAAATGTTTTGTTTCCATCTCACTGTTATTTAGAGCGAGTTTTATGTATATGTTTTTAGTTTATAGGTAGATTTTTGAATTATTCTTTTTGTTGATTAATGTAAATATGAATCCAACCTGCGTTTTAATTATTGCTTTAGCTCTTTTGTTTGTCTAAAACAAAAATGAATAACCCAGTCCTCACATGAAACAATTTGTATGTCAATGAACCACTTAAATCTAGGACTTTAGAATCATTATACCAAAAATTTTTTGTATTATACTATGAAATTTTTCTGTATTCTTAGCCGACTGAAACATATTAAAAACAATCAATAAGCTACGGATCTTAAATAGTTGGAGTTAGACACAAAAAACATGAATTAAATTTGACATTAATATTATTGCTTTAGCGATTAATGTACCTATTGATTTGACGGATGCAAGACTCTGTGCCAGTATATTTTCCCTAATGAGCTGATTCTCCAGTTCAGTAATGTCCGTACATAGAATATGGTTAATAGTTACGGTATTCTTAGCACTCTGTGACAATTACAAATTACAACAACACCAGTGGTCTAGACATCAATGCAGAAAGCTTCATCATCAAGAGTTACACATTTTCAAGCTTGTTTCAATAATCTAAGTGTCCAACATTTAGTACAAGAACGGCAGAATACATTTGATTACTATTTATATTTATTATGGCTGTCAGCATTAACAAACTTCGTTGATGAACTTTGTGACAAATTTGCGTTCTCCCAAGATTTATTAACCAATATTTGTATTGATAGTTATCTTTTTGATACTTTTGCCAAACTTTACGGAATAAAACGCATTTTTGACTAAAAATTTAATATTATTGATGCTCCATGCTGGCATTTGTTTACAGTAATATAATAAACTAGCGAGGTGGGAACATCTTATGACGTCACGATCCATTTGTAAAAATTTGCATCCGTTGGCGAAATTTAGCGTTAAAATTAAACAACTTATACCAAACCAAAAATGCTCAAACATACACCAAAATGTTTCTAAAAAAATATATTCTTCTTTGTCGAAAGAAAGATGGAGTGAAAATTGGCCGGAGTTGCACTTTAACAAAATATCATTAACTCAAATGAGCCACCAACATTATGTTGTATATAATACCTACAAACTCACCAAAATATTTTGATGACAGGGAAACATGAGCATGACTTGGAACAAGAAATTTACTCTAAGTTTTTTGAGACTCATATTTTACAGTTTCTTTGTACATCGTACGAAATTTCCTCAAAGACGAAGTGACGTGAGTATGGTCTTTACCTGGCGCATTCAGTTTTCGAACTTCTGGAGGTTTTTCAAAATACTTTATAGCTTTGTCTTGTTTTCCTGTTTTATCATAAACCAAACCGAGATGGCTTAAAGATGCAGCGACATCAATATGATTTGGACCTAAACATTTTTTTCGAATTTCCAGTGCTTTTTTGTGACACTCTTTAGCTTTGTCGTACTTTCCAGTATCATAATACACCAAACCAAGATTGTGTAAAGACGCAGCGACTCTAACATGATTTGGACCTAACGATTGTTTTCGAAGTTCTAGAGCTTTTTCGTGAACCTCTATAGCTTTGTCGTAGTTTCCAGTTTTTTCAAACACCAAACCAAGATTGCTTAAAGAAACAGCAACGTCAACATGATTTGGACCTAGCGAATGTTTTCGAATTTCTAGAGCTTTTTCATGAACCTCTTTAGCTTTGACGTAGTTTCCAGTTTTATAAAACACCATACCAAGATTGTTTAAAGACAGAGCAACATAATCATGATTTGGACCTAACGATTGTTTTCGAATTTCCAGTGCTTTTTTGTGAAACTCTTTAGCTTTGTCTTATTTTACAGTTTTATAAAACACCATACCAAGATTGTTTAAAGAATTAGCAACATCAACATGATTTGGACCTAACAATTGTTTTCGAATTTCTAGAGCTTTTTTGTGAACCTCTATAGCTTTGTCGTGGTTTCCAGTTCTTTCAAACACCACACCAAGATTGCTTAAAGAATTAGCAACATCAACATGATTTGGACCTAACGATTGTTTTCGAATTTCTAGAGCTTTTTCGTGAACCTCTTTTGCTTTTTCGTAGTTTCCAGTTCCTACAAACACCGTACCAAGATTGTTTAAAGACTGAACAACATCAACATGATTTGGACCTAACGATTGTTTTCGAATTTCTAGAGCTTTTTCGTGAACCTCTTTTGCTTTGTCGTAGTTTCCAGTTTATAAACACCAAACCAAGATTGTTTAAAGACTGAGCAACATCAACATGATTTGGACCTAACGATTGTTTTCGAATTTCTAGAGCTTTTCGTGAACCTCTTAGCTTTGTCGTAGTTTCCAGTTTTTTCAAACACCAAACCAAGATTGTTTAAAGAAACAGCATTATAAACATGATTTGGACCTAACGATTGTTTTCGAATTTCCAGTGCTTTTTTGTGAAACTCTTTAGCTTTGTCGTATTTTACAGTTTTATAAAACACCATACCAAGATTGTTTAAAGAATTAGCAACATCAACATGATTTGGACCTAACGATTGTTTTCGAATTTCTAGAGCTTTTTCGTGAACCTCTATAGCTTTGTCGTAGTTTCCAGTTCTTTCAATCACCACACCAAGATTGTTTAAAGAATTAGCAACATCAACATGATTTGAACCTAACGATTGTTTTCGAATTTCTAGAGCTTTTTCGTGAACCTCTTTTGCTTTTTCGTAGTTTCCAGTTTTTTCAAACACCAAACCAAGATTGTTTAAAGAAACAGCAAGATCAACATGATCTGGACCTAACGATTGTTTTCGAATTTCTAGAGCTTTTTCGTAAAACTTGATAGCTTTGTCGTAGTTTCCAGTATTACAATACACATTACCAAGATTGATTAAAGAAACAGCAACATCAACAAGATTTGGACCTAACGAGTGTTTTCGAATTTCTAGAGCTTTTTCGTGAACCTCTATAGCTTTGTCGTAGTTTCCAGTTTTTTCAAGCACCAAACCAAGATTGATTAAAGAAACAGCAAGATCAACATGATTTGGACCAAACGATTGTTTTCGAATTTCTAGAGCTTTTTCGTGAACCTCTATAGCTTTGTCGTAGTTTCCAGTTCTTTCAATCACCACACCAAGATTGTTTAAAGAATTAGCAACATCAACATGATTTGAACCTAACGATTGTTTTCGAATTTCTAGAGCTTTTTCGTGAACCTCTTTTGCTTTTTCGTAGTTTCCAGTTTTTTCAAACACCAAACCAAGATTGTTTAAAGAAAAAGAGACATCAACATGATTTGGACCTAACGATTGTTTTCGAATTTCTAGAGCTTTTTCGTTAAACTCTATAGCTTTGTCGTAGTTTCCAGTTCTTTCAAACACCTTACCAAGATTTTTTAAAGACTGAGCAACATCAACATGATTTGGACCTAACGATTGTTTTCGGATTTCTAGAGCTTTTTCGTGAGCCTCTTTAGCTTTGTCGTAGTTTCCAGTTTTACAAAACACCAGACCAAGATTGTTTAAAGACAGAGCAACATAAACATGATTTGGACCTAACGATTTTTTTTGAATTTCCAGAGCTTTTTCGTAAAACTCTATAGCTTTTTCGTAATTTCTACTTTCATAAAACAAATTACCAAGATTGTTCAAAGACTGAGCATCATCAACATGATTTGGATCTGACGATTGTTCTTGAATTTCCATATCTTTTTCGTGAAACTCTATAGCTTTTTCGTAATTTCCAGATTGCCTAACTTGTATTATTTAATGCGATGAATTTGCACATATCAACCTTAGTGTGAACAATTTAGCATCGACGAAAGACACTTGCAAAGTCATGAAGATAAGGAAAATTCTTTTGCTCCATATAAAATGTGGACTTACTAAATTGAACAAGCGATACTATAGTTTATGACAAAGATAAACACATTTGTTGATTAATATTTCTACTTCTAAAACGACTTAAATATCTAAACTATTCAATGATGACATGTATGTGTCCACTTGCGACTTTAAAGAAATTGTACTTTGTGGTGAATCATAAGTAATTAATTGTACTTTAGAAAATGCCTTACCTTGTTTAAGATGGCAGTGATTTGTTTATGGTAAGCATATTGTTCTTGTTTGGAATTGTAACTTCGTTTGAGGTCACATTTATACGTCGTAATCAAGCATGAAAATTATTTGTTTCTTTGTCTTACAAACCTTTTACTGGTTAACGGCGTGTAGCACTGAACAGTTGAACTTTTAGAAAGATTTAAAGTTCTGACAACTTAAGCATCATATATTCTTCCTTCGAGTCCATATGTGGAAATGTATTTTGTGCAACGGAAGTTAAAACATCTTAAGAATAGATTGTTATGTAAAGCAAAGATATTGTTTTATGATTTTTATTGTTTTTGTTCATTATTTTGATTATAATTTGGAAAAAATTGATCAATAGAAATAAGTATAAATTTTACTAAAATATACCGTTTTTTAAGATATTTTGGAAGCATGACCATAAAGTGGGAGTGTTAAAAAGAATTACTAAGTTGCAATACTCATATCTGTTTTTAATATTTATGGTAACTATAATGCGATGAATTTGCATACATGAACCTTCGCAACCAAAGCTTGACGAAAGACAATTGTAACATTAAAAAAGTTAGCAAATTCTTTAGCCACATTTAAAATGTGGACTTAAAACTAGTTTATCACAAAGATAACATACTTGATGATAAATATTTCTACTTCTAAAACGACTTAAATATCTAAACTATTCAATAATTATATGCATGAGTCCATTTGCGATTTTAAAGTAAATGTACTTGGTCGTGAGTCATAAATAATTAAATATACTTTAAAAAAAGCCTTACCTTGTTTAAGATGGCAGTGATTTGTTTTTGGTAAGCATATTGTTCTTGTTTGGAATTGTAACTTCGTTTGATTTATCTACAATTACAGAATTTACAAGCTTCCATAGGTCACATTTATACGTCGTAATCAAGCATGAAAATTCTTTGTTTTTCGTCTTACAAACGTTTTACTGGTTAATGGCATGAAGCCTTGAACAGTCAAACCTTTAGATAGATTTAACGTTTTAACAAATCAAGTGTTATATATTCTTCCTTTGAGTTGATACGTGGAAAATTATTTTTGCCACGGAATTTAAAACATCTCAAGAATAGATTATGTAAAGTAAAGATATGGTTTTATGATTTTTATTGTTTATGTCCCTAAAATTGAATATAATTTGGATCAATTTGATCAACAATCTGAACAAATTACCATTATTGTTCAAAGACTGAGCATCATCAACGTGATTTTGACCTGACGATTGTTCTTGAATTTCCATAACTTTTTCGTGAGACTCTATAGCTTAGTCGTAATTTCCAGGTTGCCTAACTTGTATTATTTAATGGGTTGAATTTCCACGTATCGACATTAACGTCAACTTAGCATCGACGATAGACAATTGCAACGTCACAAAGATAAGCAAAATTCTTTAGCTCCATTTAAAATGTGGACTTACTAAATTTAACAAGCGATAGTGTAGTTTACGACAAAGATAAACACACTTGCGGATTAATATTTCTACTTCTAAAACGATTTAAATATCTAAACTATTCACTGATGACATGTATGTGTCCATTTGCGATTTTAAAGAAAATGTACTTTGTGGTGAATCATAAATAATTAATTATGCTTTAGAAAAAGCCTTACCTTGTTTAAGATGGCAGTGATTTGTTTTTGGTAAGCATATTGTTCTTGTTTGGAATTGTAACTTCGTTTGATTTATCTACAATTACAGAATTTACAAGCTTCCATAGGTCACATTTATACGTCGTAATCAAGCATGAAAATTCTTTGTTTTTGTCTTACAAACCTTCTACTGGCTAACGGCGTGTAGCAATGAACAGTTGAACTTTTAGATAGATTTAACGTTTTAACAAGTCAAGTGTTATATATTCTTCTATTGAGTTGATACGTGGAAAATTATTTTTGCCACGGAATTTAAAACATCTCAAGAATAGATTATGTAAAGCAAAGATACGGTTTTATGATTTTTATTGTTTATGTTCATAAAATTGAATATGATTTCGATGAAATTGATCAATAGAAATGAGAAGTATAAATTTTACTAAATTTTACGGTTTTCAAGACATTTGGTAGTCAGTGGTGAAAACTTCAGCTCCATCCTCAAAAATTTGTCTTATACAGATGAGGTGGTATAAAAATTCACAATATCATATTCTGGAAATTTTGCTTGCTTAATTTGAATAAGGAAAAACATGCGTTTGTTTACTCTAATGTTGGGAAAAGTAAATCTCAAAGGTGACATTTCATTATCTTCTAGATCTAATAAATCAAATGAAAGGAATATGATAGAAAATTCTTGTCGTAGTCTTGTAGAAATTATAAAGATTTGTTAGCATCAAGTTCAATGTTTGTTTGTATCTTAAGGTATATTTAACTACAAGAACAGTTTCTGGTAATCTGAATTGATTCGAAAGGTGGAAAAAGTTAAGTTTATCAAATCACAACTCAAAACGATTTCACACCCAGAATAATTAGTTTATATCAAGTTAATCGGTCTAATTTTAGCCAGAAGAGCCTCAAAAGCGGCAGAATTATATTAGAATTTCCACTGTACACCACCATGTGGTCCAATAGCTCTGTTTTTACAAATCAGAAATCAAAGATTTTCAGTTTTTTTTATTTAATGCTATGAATTTGCATGTATCACCTTAGCGTCAACAGCTCGACGAAAGATAATTGCAACGTCACAAAACGACTAAATATTTAAAATATTCCATGATGGCATGCATGAGTCTATTTGCAATTTCAAACTAAATTTTTTTCCTGATTCATAAATGTCATTTCATACTATCACAAGTATAATGAAATAAAAAATATTTTATAAAAATACCGTCCGGACCCAAAGATAAATATAATTGCATGCTAACAAGCAATTTAAATTTTCTGATTATGATAAACACGCCTTCCTTCAGATGACAGTGATTTTTTGGTAAGCAAATTGTTTTTATTTGTAACTTTGCTTATTTGGTGTACAACTACGTGATCATAAGTTGTTACGAGTACCTATGATGTAATTTTATAGTATTAGGTTGAGAGTAATTTTTATTAAAAGTGTATTAATTATATTTGACGAACAACTTTCATCTAAGATCTCATTTATACACAGTGGCGTAGCTAGGAAAAATAGTCACTCCCGCCAATCCATCTCGCGCCGGAGGCGTGACCCCACTAGGGGGGTCCGGGGGCATGCTCCCCCGGAAAATTTTGAAATCTAGAGCCTTGGAAACAGCATTTCCTGCGATTTCGAGGGTGAATTATTTGTTGTACAATAATTTATAAAAACCCATTTTTGTTAGCTGCATTCTTAATGTGGCAATCGTTGAAACTGCAACTAGTTAAAAAGGTACTAAAGGTGGCTCAGAGAAACGTTACGCAGGAGACAATTGTCCCCTAAAACATAATTTACTCATCACTGCCCCTGCATAAACAGAAGAAATTTGTATTAGCACAAAAAATAATATAGTATACGACACTTCTAAAGTGCATAGAGAGAGATTTTTCTTAGCATTCTACTTGTTAGTTTAAACTTGTTAAGATTGGGGCAAGTAGACAGGGATGGCTTTATTCTTTAAAGTTATGCTTAATTTTCTCAATGAAGTACCATGTATTATACGAACAAATATCAAAACACATACTATACTCATCATTTATAAAGAAAGGCCAGCCTCCTGGGTTTTCTACAAATTTTCAACCACCTCGTTATGCAACACCTCTGATTCCTCTTTCTTTTCAATGATATCTTTGTGAATAGATATTCTACACAAAGAGCTAAGCCGACCTTGACCCATTCTATTTCTTAAATAGCTTTTACCCTTTTAAGCAAGAAAACGACCTCTCTACTGAAGCACTTGCCACTGCCAACACACCATTCAATTTTAACAAATTTACCAATTGACCTAAACTCGACTGGAGATTAAATTTGAAGATGTATTTAAGAACCTAATTACTGCACTCTTTGTGAAAGTCCTTGTCGTTGTAAATGAAGGAAAGTTGACTCTCCAAAATTTGGATGTCAAAAAGAGGACTATACTTATCTTTGAGAAGATTGATCTTCTCCTGTGGAACTATGCCCTTCCATGTAGTAAATAGTTTAGGTTTTACAAGGTCTAAAAACTCGAACTGATTAATATCTTGAAATCGTTCACTTAACATGCCTTTAATGGAATCAATAATCTCAAAATAAAGCTGTTTGTAATTGTATCTACTATCTGCTCTGGTTGCTGGGGGCCTACTTTTTCTAGTGCAGTTTGGTAAAACTCGGTGAAAGCTTGATCTGTGCGAAGTGACACAATAAACTGCTTGAAATTGTCAATCTTGCTTATGCCATAGTTAAAATGGGTTTCCTATTTTGAAGAATGGAATACAAAATTGTGGACTGTTCTAAAATCCTGTAAAAAACACACACTAGAAAACAAAAGAGAAAGCTATCAAGATAATGCAGTAAGCCACTTATTTTACTTAATGACTCATCATCCCACCCAGCTGGTTGTTCAAGTACCCCTCAAAAATATCTAAAAGTTTCTCATAGTTTTGTGCAATACATTGATTAATCTAGAGCGATAATACCATCTTGTTTCACCAGGGCAGGAAACTCAAGGTTGTTAGATGTGAGAAAAGCTTTTCTTTTGGGGCATTGCTTGTAAATGTGCTGAATGTAGCTATATTAATAAAAAGATTTTAACAGGAGAAATTGATGAGGCTGACTGGCATAGGACCAGGTTCAATCTATGAGCTGCACAATGAACAAAATGAGCAAAAGGATACTCTTGTCGAACCAATGCTTGAACACCATTGATATGGCCAGACATGACAGAAGCACCATCATATGTTTGTAAAACCAGTTTTCTTTTATATTAGAATACTCACCAAGTTTATCTTTGACAACTTGTGATATTGCTGTGGCATTTCTGTTCATACTTACATCCACAAATCCTAATTGCCTCTCCATAATTTCACTTGCTTTGTCAAACCGAGCAATAACACTTAGCTGCTCTTTGGTGGAGACATCAGATGCTTCATCAACCTGAATACTCATAAATGTGCAATCATTTATTTCCTTTCTGATTTCATCTTCAATAATTGAATCAAGACAGCTGATAAGACCATTTTGAATTTCTGGGAGACTCCAGTAAATCTTCTGTCACCAACTATATCAGATTCTGCTAGTCTACTGTGCAGTCGACGCTCAAATACAGAATCAAACTTAGCAAAACATTCGAGCAACTCTCTATAATTACCTTTGTTCAAGCTACCTTCGGACTCATTGTGACCTCTAAATGGCAACTCTTGCTTTGACAAATACAGCACGGCCTCAGTAACAGTTTTAAAATTTCTCGATTTTGTCTTACCTCCTCATTGTGACGCTGAATCTCATTTCTTCTAGCGAGGTAAGACAATCAATTCGTTCACTAGCTCCATACGTTTTCCATGTCTTAAATGCAGTCAAATGCGATTTAGATTTTTCATGCTTCTTAGCATCAGACATAATACTCCGCATATCGTTGTAGCCATTCTTAGTCCACGATGGCGATATTTTTGGGGAAAACATTAGACATGGCCAACAAAACACTTTCTGCAAGGTTGTACTGCCACACAGCCAGTCCTTCGCCTCATACCAATCTCTCTGAAATGCTCTTCCCTTATTTTGGATAGTTAAATCAGGAGTAGGCCGTTCATGAACGATAACATTCTGTTCGACCGACGATCGAGCAGAGAACGGTTTAGCTAATAAGCTATTTACTAAATCAACATCAGTTGAGCAAATCGCAGTCGCATTTGAAGCCATTGTGTCATACACAAATACAAAATAGCAATTTGAGAGTAAACACAATGGAAAATTAATACCGACAGCGACACGTAATTTGATAATCACTAATCACTGTACTCGTATTAAAAGGTCGAATAATTACAACCTCCGCCAATTTAAAATAGCGGGAGTTCGACTATAAAAACAGCAGATTTGAGCATGCGTCAAGTCCCTTAGCCAACCAGAATTCAAAACTTCTTATATAGAATTATATTGTATGTTCCGCCCTCTGAAGATGGGCGGAATACGTGGAGAATCGCGCGAGTATGCAATGTGCGAGAAAAGGCGGTTGCTAGGTTACATAACAAATCTTGAGATTTTGCTGTATTACGATTACGAACCACCTAATAAAAGCGTAAATATGAACGAATAAAACATAATATTACAAATTGTTCGTGAAATAATGTATATCTTATGTCCAAATAGAATATTTATTATTTTTTTGGGAAATTTCTACTCCCGCCGGGCGGGAGTAGCGGGACCGCTAGCTACGCCACTGTTCGTCGTGATATAATAAACGCCTTAAATAAAACATTAAAGTCGATAGGAAAATATTACACAGATTTCTGAAAGTACATAAAGCATTAACTTTAAATGTTGACCAAAATTTATCCTGAAAAAATAGTGAAATAACATAGAATTCCATACCAGGTATACTACGTACGCAATATCAAAAAAAAACCAACGAAATCGTTAACAATTTGAAAGCAAAATTGCTGCTCATTACGATGAACAAAGTTCTATCAAGTATCACAGCGTTTCATCCTCGTATCATACGTACGCTTATCGTTCACGCATTATACTCTCATCATACGCGTATCGTTCTCGTATCATACGCGTATCCTTTTCGTATCATACGCGTATCGTTCTCGTATCATACGCGTATGTTTTTCGTATGATACGCGTATCATACGCGTAGCGTATGTTAACAAATACGCGAGCGGTAGGGTATATCCTGTGATTATGAGTCTTTCTGGTCCATGAAGCTTTTTATTTTGACAATTTGACTGGAATGGTATTAAACCTAAGTATTTCACATACATGAAATGTTGTCCCACGTCACATATTGTCCCCTTTTCTAAATGAACACCTCATGTAGAGATGTCAATGTGTGTTGATCTACGGCTCATATTAGATTGTTTGCCAGAAATTCTTAAGGGCTATT